AAGCTGGATGTTGTTTCCTGTGGCAAGTCCACAGTCCGAGTACAGAAGGCCATCTGCAGTGGGTTCTTCCGTAATGCCGCCAAGAAAGACCCGCAGGAGGGTTACCGGACGCTGATCGACCAGCAGGTGGTCTACATCCATCCTTCCAGTGCCCTCTTCAACAGACAGCCAGAATGGTAGGTGGATGCATCCCAGGGTCCCTATTCCCAGTACTTCCTGTTATAACATTGCTTGCATTTCTTGAGCAGCAGAAACCTGAATTAAGCACAACGTATCAAACCCTATGCGAGAATTAAAATCATAGGAGTGAGACCTAGTTGAAAAAAAATTTGTGGTTTAAAAAAACTACCTAGAGATGTAGTTTTAAAGTAACAATTTTTTTTAAAAAAGGACTCTTTCTCTAGAACCCTAATATAAAACTGATTCAAAACCACCATGTTATCACAGTAGAAGGGTTAGAAATGTAGCTTCTTGCCTGTTTGGCCTTCCCATCCCTTGTGGCAGTGTGTGAGACCCCTCTTCAGGGCCCTAGATTTCTGTGGAAACATTCTAATAAGCCACCCTGTAGAGCAAGAAGCAGATTAGAGAAGGGATGTGACTGGCTCCATGTCACTTAACTAGTTAGAGCCAGAGCCAGGACTAGAACACATTCTCCTGAGACCTTTCTTGTGGTTAGAGGTGTGCAGGTGCTTCAGTATTGGGTGTGGCTATCATAAACAGTCTGCAGTCTTGTAGGGGTCAGGCGTGAGTGGTAAGAGGATAAAATGTAAGCTGAGCTGAGGCCTACTAGGGATCAGGTTGACCGTAGAGTGGAACCTGCATCCAGAGGCTTGAGTTCTGTCTCTCTCCCCCGATAGGGTGGTATACCACGAGCTGGTGCTGACCACCAAGGAATACATGCGTGAGGTTACCACCATCGACCCCCGGTGGCTTGTGGAGTTTGCCCCAGCCTTCTTCAAGGTCTCCGACCCAACTAAGCTAAGCAAACAGAAGAAGCAGCAGCGTCTGGAACCCTTGTACAACCGCTATGAGGAACCCAATGCCTGGAGAATATCCCGGGCCTTCCGACGGCGCTGAAAGGCAAGCGTGTTCATTTGCCTCTCCGGCAGCAGTAGCCCGGGGCTTGGACTTATTCTCATTGATGACAGGCTGGTCCTGAGAATACAGCTGTCCTGTGACTGACTGTCTTAACTGGGCATTTTCTCAACTTGACTCTCATTTCTTCCCTGCTAATAAAATAGAAACAGGGATTTAGACTTGGCTTTGGCAAGAGCCTCCAGCCCCCATCAACCCAAGTCCTTGGGGCCTGTTGGGAGCTCATAGCTAACACGGAGACATTGCATCAACTTCAAGAAAGGGGCAACTTGTGCAGTCCCAGGGTGGGAAAGGAGAGTGGGTGAGTGTCTCGTGCAGGGACATGGGGAGGGCGCTGATGCCCCAGCTGGCAGGAGCTACTGTGCTCGTCTAAAGTGTGTGCCCCAGGGCTTCCCACCCCTTCTCCAGCCCCTGTACTTTGGTTTGACCTCCATGGAAATATTTATTTTCTTAAGGAATCTAAAATGATTTTCTGTGACTGTTTCGTTTAGCTGAAAGGGTAGGATACTGGCCTGGGCACAGGCTGAGGGAGATTTAGCATCTGTGCTTGGGTGCACATGATGAGAATCCCCTAAAACCAGAAGCGCAGGGCCTCTTTGGGCTCAGAAGTGATGTACAGCCCAGACCTCCAGCCTTGTCTTTCAGCATCAGCGGCCGTGCTGGGGGATCGCCCCATGATTAACCACGTCCTCTCCACAGAGCGCGTCAGTCTGGAGGCCTGAGTGGTTACGGATGCCACGTATTAAACACAGAAGGTTCCCTGCTCCCTCAACCTCCTGCCACATTCACAACATGCAGCATGTCCCATTTCCTTTTGAAACATACTAAGTAACAACACGGCTTTTATTTTATTTTGTTTTTATTTTTTTCCCCTGAGGTCCTGGATGGACTTTAACAAAGGAATTTTATGGTAAAAACCTCCCTTTTCCCACCCCAAACAGAAAACAAACATAACACCTCTCCTCTCAGCTGGTCTGTGCTGCCTGGATCTGTGCTCCAGGGCTTGTTCTTGTGGGTTTTTCCTGGCACTTGGTTGGGGAATGGCCACCTCCTTGTGCCCCCCTCACAGCTCCTGAGGAGACTCTTTTTTTTTTTTTCTTCCCATAGAGATGGGCTCTTACTATGTTCCCCAGGCTGCTCTCCAATTCCTGGCTTCAGGCAATCCTCCTGCCTCCGCCTCCCAAAGTGCACAGAGGAGGCTCCTTACCTAGAAAAACATCAGGCAGGTCTTGCCAGGCCAGGTTGTGGAACTGGTGGAAAGCTGGTCTGGACGTAGTGCTTGTACAGAAGCTGCTGGGAGATTGGGCACATCCTGTTACGGTGCTGCTTCTCCCATCCTTAGGTTATTAGCAAGTTCTGAAGTGATGTAAATGCTAGAACTACTGTAGAACTATATGCCAGAAACGAAAAGAGACTATACAACATTCCAGGATATAAAGGAATGTATATTGTCACTGGGCAGCAAACCACACCCGAAAGACACAATTCAGAGTCTAAGGGAGAGGAATATAGGCCAGGCAACCTGCTGACTGCTGATCCCTGCCCCTTTGTTAAGCTGAGTGAGTGCCTCCTGATTCTGTCTTTGTGCCTTCAGTAAGCCCAGGCCAGTCATCAAGGGGCAGGGCATTGTTGTGTGTTAGCCTTGAAGCCTTCTGGGGAGAGACAGAGCAGGGACCTCAAATGAAGCCAAAGGGGAAACGGGGACTGGCATCCACCTCCCCAATCTGGTTTTATTTTTTTGAGATAGGGTCTTGAGCCCAGGCTGGCGTCAAACTCCTGGGCTCAAGTTATCCTCCCGCCTCAGCCTCCCCAGTAGCTCAGACTATAGGTGCACACCACCACACCTGTCTCCCAGTCTTAATTCCAGCCTAAATCTTCCCCATTCAGAAATAAACTCCTGGATGTGGTGGCTCAGCCTGTCCCGACAGTGCCCAGCACTGACAGTGTTGGCACCTGGGGAGGGAGGCTTGGGTTTTAAGCTGAGGTTGAAAAGGAATGTTGAATGGGCCAAGGATAATGGCAGCAGGGTAGGTTATCTTTCTGGCTCAGGTGAGGAAAAAAGGATCCCCGTTCTGTGGGTGTTCATTGACCATCTCTACCCTAGAGCTGAGGTCACTTCTCTGCTATGACAGCATAGCTGGGGTCTGACCTTTTGACTATCAGGAAAGCAGTGTGGGGAGCTGAGCTGAGCCTGCTCTGAGGGAGAGGAGGGGGTCCTGTCCAGATGCAGAAGGGGAGCTTGCCTGCTGCTCTCACACAATGGAGCCCTTGTTTCTCTTCATTGAACCAGTATTTCCCAAGATTGAGTGACAGCCCAGGAGAGGATGTGGGTCTCATGCAGAGAGCTGGGATCTTTTTGGCCATTAAAGTATATTGTTCACCCCAACCCAGCAGGCAGCAGGCTCAGGAGTTGCCTGCCTCTGCACATGTGCTGAGTGCGCTGTTTATGTATATGGGGGGACCGTCCCCATGGGGCATGTGTGAGCTCCGCTGCTGGGTCAGGCTCCTCAGTCCAGGTTTACTTCATCCTGCCAGGACGAGTTGGCTTTGACTGTCTGCTGCAGCCCAAAGCACTTCCTCCCCATGGGTGCTATAGCTGTCTCATTGGAGCAGTGCCCCTCCAAGTTTGAGGATTTGAACAAAGAACTGGGACTGGTGACCTGCTAATGAACAGTTCAGAGGGCAGAGGCAATCCTCTCAGCCTGCAGAGACCTCGCTTTCCCTGGATGCTGCTTCTCATCTGAATCCCTCTCTCTTCATGTGTGTACTCAGCTCTCAGGGTCTCCACCAGATTTTTATACCTTCTTCCCACCATGATAGCTTGGCTTTAATGTGGAATTAAATTATATATTTTTAAAAGTTATTTTTAAAATTTATTTTCTGTTTCTTGCTCTGAAGTGTATCAGTACATTGATGTTTTGTGTTTCTAGGAAGAAGTAATGTTGCCTTTTATTTTTGGATGGTGGTTGGGGTATCCCTCCAAGGGATGGTCTCAGGTTGTTGCTGGGCCAAGGCTGCTGGCAGTTCAGGCATGAACAGAGTTGGGCTGGCCCCAACCTCAGAACAGCTGCAATTTCTGTTTAACACGAGAGCCCCTGTTTGTACCTGAGCCTGTCTCCCGGGCAGTGGTTTACATAGGAGCTGGGTCTGGAAGCACCCACTCTGCCCCTCCCACCTCTTGTCACCCCTACTCAGTCATACTTCCTCCGCAGGTTGTTGTCGGCTTTGCTGTTTCTACCCACGCCCAAAAATCTCAGCCTCAGGACTCTGATGTCTCCCAAATTTGGGCAAGGAGAATCTAGGTGTTTCCCACTCCCCTGAAGATCTAGTCTCCACTGGCCAGAATCCAGGGCCTGCTCTAGCCTCTCCCTGTACCATCTGGCCTGGGAGTCTTTCTCCTTTGGCCCATTCTCCAAACAGTTGTCCCCAGCCCCAGCAAAAGTAGCAACCTAGGAGCTGAGGTAGGGCGGAGGACATGCAATTGGGGTCTATGTGGGGCAGCAGGGTCAGGGGAACAGTTAGGATCACAGAAACCAAAAACCAAAACCCTGCCTGAAGAAGTCCCAGGGGGAAGAGCCTTGCAACGCAGTGGCCCACCTGCCCCACCCGCAGGGCCAGGGAGACTGCTGCAGGAAGCAGGCTCAAAGTGCGCAAGGGACGCCTGTCCAGGTTATCAAGTACCCCTGTCCATTATTTCTGGATCTTCACACAGTAATGCTGGGAAGGGGGAAGAGCAGGTATCATTAAGCCCATTTTTCAGAAGAAAAATAGGTACCTTTTTTCAAATCCACATGGGGATTAAATGTCAGGGCCTGGCCCCAAACCAGTGAGCTCTGCTCCAAGGCCAGAGCTCTTTCCATCCCCAGGTCAGTTTTCACAGGACAGCAAAGAGGACACAGGATAACTAATGGGAGAAGTGGGGCTTTATTAAGGTCTGGTAGATGTGGTGGAGGTGGAAGTGGAAACTGGGCCTAGGAAAGGGCGGAAGAAAGGTAAAGGGCCCCTTGGAGCAGGAACCCATCCCTCTCGGCTTCCACCCAGCACCCCCCATCCCAGGTTCCTTTCTTCAACCTCCCCCTGCCTCCGGGAACACAGAGCACCAAGAACTGACAAGCCGGAACCCACCCGGGGCCACAGCTTGGGGCAGAGTCCAGGCTTCTGTCTCCGCGCAGTGGGACGATCTGGGGATCTCAGTGAACCTCCTCTCTCTCATGCCAGTTTAAGTTGGGAAGCGCCTTCTCTGTCCCCCAGAACAGAACAAACTCTTGTTCTCTGTGGTTGGGGAAAAGGTGTAGGGGGCGTGGACACAGGAAGCAGGACCTGGGAAGAAGCTGAGCTGAATTCCCCCAGGGCCCAGGTGGAGCCCCCAGGGGAGTTTCTGAGACTCCACCTTTATAGACTTGCCATTTCTCCACTTTTCCTTCCCAGTGACTGGTGAGCAGCTCAGAGTCTGGGCCAGGGCAACTGGTAGGACAGTGGGGATCTGCCCAGAGTCATCTGTGGGTTTCAGATGAAGGTTTCCCCAACACCAAATTCAACTATATGTACGCAGGGCAGCACCCACCTGCGGCAGAGGGAATAGCCGCTGGGGGCTAGTAAGAGTAGCCACCCTTGGGGCCAAACAGCTGGGCAGGGACAGCGAGCTCCGGGAGGTAGGCGGGACTCTCGTCCAAGTGGGACAAAGGGACTGTGTCCTCCTCACTGACCGGCCGGTCAAACTCGGCCTTCAGAGCTGGACGCTGATTGTCCGGGAAGGCCAAAGAGAAGAGGGCCTCGGGCTCACACACAAACTTGTACACGTAACGCTCTCCAGCCACCTATGGGGAGAGAGAAGGGCTAGTCAGCCTGGCTAGCCCCGCAGCCTTGGTATGGGGTAAGGTGGGGGAGTGGGGAATGCAGCCTTCTACCAGTCCAGGCAGATGCTCAGGGCATTTCTCTCCCATGCTGGTTCCCCTGAGAAGCTGACTCTCCCTTCACGGTTCTTCCTCCTTTTTCATTTCAATTTCTCCCTGCTTGGGGCTTCTCAGTTCCAGTGTAGCACGTTTTTGGGAGAGGAGAACCTTGGGATTGTGCACAATTTCTTGTCCCTCTGACTGATTCATTAACTGATCCTACAGAGTTGCTGAGAACTGCCCTTCTGACCCTCTCCCCATTAGCTTCCCACAGCCACTGCCCCCACCACCTTGTCCCTGGACCCACAGCTCCCACCTTCTGCATGATGCCTTTCTCATAGTAGTATCGGAGCGAGCGGCTCAGCTTGTCATAATTCATGGCTGGCCGGTTCTTCTGGATGCCCCAGAGCCTGGCAACCTGGGGACAAAAGAGTTTTGGGGTGGAGATGCTACCTTGGCAGAGGAAAAAACATGGGGGAAAGGTCAGAAAGAGCACTTGAGATTCTCAGTGCAAAGTACTACGCCAGCCTGGCAACAAAGCATCAGCGCATAAACTTAGGCTTGGCAAGAATTCCAGTCAGGTAAAGCAAGGATCATGATGGAGGCACATGCCACCATTCCCCAGGTTCTCCCATCTCCAGGCCCTCAACTTTAGAAAGGAGGGCTGGGGATATCTGAGAGGCCCACCTCCTCAGGCTCAATGAGCTTGAACTCCATTCCCCGGCCCGTCCAGGCAATGAAATGGGCATTTGTTGGGTCATCCAGCAGGGCCACCAGAAATTGCCACAGCTGCAGGGCACCCCGGCGCTGGTAGGGTGGCCCCTCTCGAAATGCACCAACCCCTTCCTGCTTGATGTCTCCTGGGGAACATGAAAATAGGAAGTGTGGGGTTTGGGTCTTTTGGTCCCCCAAGCAACTGCCTCCCCTCACCCCAGGGATTTCTCCAAGGGGTCTCCCCAGGCACTTTTCTATGGGTCCCACCCTCTTGCAACCATGAAACGTGATGTGACTCCTTCGGGGACACAGCATAAGACCTTGACCCTCCCATGAACAGTCACTTCTCTGACCTTCAAATTTCTCAGGGACAACGCAGACATCATCTGGGAATGGTCGCAGAGTTTTCTCATAGCCATAGCCTTGTGGAGGAAGTTAGGGGTTGCTCAGATTTGGGGGTTCACTGATGAAACTCCAGAGTCCAGAGGGACTTCTGGCCAGGGAGACCCTCCCCCATGGCAGCACTCCCTCCCCCAACATGGAGGGCTTGGCAGGGGAAGGGGAACTGCCTTACCCATGGCCCCGTCACCTGGAGAGGGCCCGGGGAAGCCCTCTGTGTGGAGGTACACTGATGCACACCCGGTGAGATCTGTGGGGAAGAAAGGGGAATGTGAGAGGTGGCTAGGGTGGAGCTGGGGGGGAGGGGAGGAGGAAATCCTATCCACATTCAAGAAGTTCTTCCTAGGCTGGCTCGGTGGCTCACGCCTGTAATCCCAGCACTTTGGGAGGCCAAGGTGGGTGGATCACGAGGTCAGGAGTTTGAGACCAGCCTGACCAACATGGTGAATCCCATCTCTACTAAAAATACAAAAAAATTAGCCAGGCGTGGTGGCGCTTGCCTGTAATCCCAGCTACCCAGCAGGCTGAGACAGGAGAATTGCTTGAATCCGGGAGGCAACAATTGTGGTGAGCAGAGATCCCGCCATTGCACTCCAGCCTGGGCAACAGAATGAGACTTAAGTCTCAAAAAAAAAAGTTCTTCCTTCCGGCCTGCTTCCTGGTGACTATTCTTTGCCCAAGTTGCCTGCCAACCACAAAATCCCAGGGGAAGTTCACCCAGAGGGAGTGTGAAGCTGGAGCCCCTCAACTTGAGGGCTGGGGCGGAGGCCATGGAAGGCAGCAGCGGGGGCTGGGCAAGCTGTTCTGCAAGGCCCAAGCTGCCAGGGAGCAGCTGTTTCCTACGGGTTCAGAGGGAGGGAGGGCGAGATGAACGTCCGGAGAAAGGGTTCGGTGTCCACGCCTGACTCCCTCAGAATGGACAAATGTCCGGTCAGCAGGTCAGATTCCCAGTCCTGTGCGCACGTGTGTGTGTGACTGAAACTGAGAGTGTGTGCCTGCATGCACCTGGGGAAGAGGCAGTGGGCACTGGGCCTTGTTTTTTCAGGTCTAACAGAGCACATTCCACTTCATTTCATTCCATTCCATAGGATAGGAACCTCCCCACTCTACATCGGGGAGGCGGCTGCGTAAAGCCACCCGTTCAAGTTCCAACCCCTTCCCGCCCTCCCCCCACTCCACTCCACTCCCACCTATGAATGAGAAGATGGTGAAACCCGACACCTCAGGGAGGAGGCGGGAGGGTGGGCTCATTCATGCATCCATTTTGTGAATGGAATTCCTGACTCCATTCAGGCGTAGCTGGGGGAGGGGCAGGAGTTCAAGGGCATGTAACATGATCCCCTCTGGTCTATAGCCTTTGAAGGTCAGCGGCAAGAGTGCCTCCCTCCTCCTCTCCCAGCTCACTGCCAAGCCTGGGTCAGACTTAGGCCCTGGATTTGAGGACAGGAGCACCCATCCGGTTCTCAGTCGGACAGCCTAGGGGTTTGCGGCTCATCCCCCTGCCCCTGAAAGGTTGTGGGCACCACAAAAAGAGAAATTCTAAAGTTCTAGCTGGCTCTGGGCCTACTCTAATAAACTCAGATTTGGGGCTAGTAACAATGTAACAAAAGGCAGGAGGAAAGAAGAAAAGGCAGGGTTTTCTGGGCCCTTCCTGGGACTGGCCCTCCCTCAGCCCTTGGGGCCTTGAACTATAGCTATTTATGAACATAGCTGAGTGCATTTCACTCCAGTCAGCAGTCAGGTGGAACTAGAACTTAAATAAGTTCCTACTTCCAGTGCCCAGCCTCTGGCCAGGGCATACATCAACTGGGAGGCTCAAACAGGATGTGCAAACCACGTATTAACCTGCCAACATGATGAAACTCCGTCTCTACTAAAAATGCAAAAATTAGCCAGCTGTGGTGGTGGGCGCCTGTAATCCCAGCTACTTGGGAGGCTGAGGCATGAGAATCACTTGAACCCAGGTGGTGAGGGTTGCAGTGAGCTGAGATCGCACCACTGCACTCCAGCCTGGGCAACAGAGTGAGACTGTCTCAAAACAAACACACGCATCACTGCACTCCAGCCTGGGTGAGTCTCCAGAGGGAGACTCTGTCTCAAAACATGCAAACAAACAAACAAAACACCCTGCACTCCTACTGAGAACTAGAAAGAAGATGAGCCTGGCTAGTTTCAAGTTCATGTTTCTCTTCATTCAAATCCCTTTGTGTTTTTTAACTTCTGTGGGGATAGGGACCAGACACATCCTATTCATCTCTGTATTTCCCAACTCTGCACACTCATGTTCCCATCACAGTAGTTTGGTCTTTGTGGGTAATTAAAACCTCAAACACCTGTTCAATAGAAATAAATGCCTTAACTTTCCTATTAAGTCACAAGCTTCCTGAGGGCAGGATCTACATCCCCCTTTATTTTATGTTTATTTTACTTTTTTATAAACAGACAGGAGATCTCACTTTGTTGCCCAGGCCGGCCTTGAACTAACTCCTAGGCTCAGGCGATCCTCCCACCTTGGCCTCCTAAAGTGCTGGGATTACAGATAAATCACCATGGGGGAGGGTTGTTTATCTTTTAATCTGAATATAGGTTTGCTAATTGAAAATTAACAATAGGCTGGGCATAGTGGCTCACACCTATAATCCCAGCACTTTGGGAGGCGGCCCAGACTGGAAGATCATGAGGTCAGGAGATCAAGACCATCCTGGGTAACAGGGTGAAATCCCATCTTTACTAAAAATACAGAAAAATTAGCCAGGTGTGGTGGCATGCACCTGTAGCTACTCGGGAGGCTGAGGCAGGAGAATCGCTTGAACCCAGGAGGTGGAGGTTGGTTGCAGTGAGCCAAGATCATGCCAGTGCACTCCAGCCTGGGCAATAGAGCGAGACTCTATCACAAAAAAAAAAAAAAAAAAAAAAAAAAAAAAAAAAAAAAAAAAAAAAAGAAAGAAAGAAAGAAAGAAAGAAAGAAAGAAAGAAAGAAAGAAAGAAAGAAAAGTAGCAATTTGGCTGGGTGAGGTGGCTCATGCCTGTAATCTCAGCACGTTGGAAGGCAGAAGCAGGCAAATCACATGAGGTCAGGAGTTCCAGACCAGACAGGCCAATATGGTGAAACCTTGTCTCTATTAAAAACACAAAAATTAGCTGGGCGTAGTTGCTGATGCCTGTAATCCCAGCTACTCGTGAGGCAGAGGCTCAAGAAGCGCTTGAACCTGGGAGGCAGAGGTTGCGGTGAGCAAAGATGGCACCACTGCATCCCAGCCTGAGCCCCAGAATTGACTTACGTCTCAAAAAAAAAAAAGAAGAAAGAAAAATGATAATTCTTTTGAAATTATGAAAAAAAAAAAAAAGGGGGGTGGGTGGGTTGGATGTACGAAATGGTAAACAGGGATATAAAAAGCTCGGGAGACATTCTGGGCTTAACCGAACTCTTCACTTGATCACATGCCACCCTGCCGCACCCCAGTCTCTTACCTGAGTCGTAGGCGAAGTCCGTCTGCTCCTGTTTGATCACCACCCCCGCCCCTGGGTACCTGTGCCCATTGACCCCACCCTGGTCCATGGTCGGCTGGCCCGCCTGTTCATACAGGGGGTCATGGTATTCTTGCTTGAAGCTCTGCTGGGGATAGGGTGGGCAGGGCTCCGACAGCTGGTGTTGGTAAGGGGCTGGGAGGGGTTCCCGGCCTCCTCCCTGAGATGTGAAGTTGTGGCAAATGTCCAGGGGCTGCTGGAAGACGGAGCTGGATGTGGTTGGATGGAGAAGGAGGAGAATAGAACTTTAATCCCTCCTCAAGCCTGTTACTCTCAGGCTTACAGAGTGGGCTCTGGAATGGGGTCTAGGGGGTTGGAGTGTCAGTATCTCTCCCTCTCTACTCTGCTGCCCCCCACCCCCACCGCCCCGCAGCTCAAGTCTTTATGGAGAACACTCAGGAACTGAAGAAAAACTGAGACCTGGGCCCACAAGCAGCGGGGTTTCCCTGTCTCCTTACCTATGTTCCCCAAGGTACCCATGGCCAGGGTGGGGCTGGGAGGTGCCAGAGGATCTCAGGAAATTCCGTTGCTCTGCCCGGGGAAAGGGCTGCAGGGGCGACTGTCCAAGGGCACCAGGGGCAGGGGACTTGATGGCAGTTTGTCTGGGGGGGTCATAGGCACTGGAGTCGAGAAGGAGAGAGGGGTGAGGGAGCAGAGAAGCTGGCAAGCATCTTTGAACCCTTCATTCCTAGGAAAGTGAGGTCACCAGGATTATGGCAGAAGGATAGAGGGGGCTGAGAAGGGAACCACAGAAGCCACAGTCAGCCCTAGCGAACTCTTCTTTTTTCAGGGACGGTCTCCCTCTGTTGCCCAGGCTGGTCGAACACCTGGTATTCGTTGCTCAGAGCAGTGGTTTAGGGGGACAGTGGGCCTGCTGGTGGAAACAGACTCTGCTCTGGCTTCCGTTTGTATTCCTGAGGCCCCCTGCTGTATTTTCCATCTGAATATTTAGAGGAAATCTTTAGTTGTATTGCTTCCTTATAGGAGCTGGAAAATCCTTTGTCTAAAAAATCAGCTGCTGCCTCTGCCCCTGCCTCCCTTCTCCGGACACCCTTCCCCTACCTTTTACCGGGTCTGGCTGGGGCTCACCTGGAGTAAAGGCACTGCTCGCCATGGTGGTAGGGGAGTGGCGGCTTCCTGCTGCAGGACAGGGCCGGGTCTGTGCAGGGACTCTGGGGCTCCTTCTTGATCCTGGTTGTGGGGCTGTGGAAAGCTACTGCGGGGTGGAGGGGGTAGAGGGGGCAGAGCAAGGCCAGAGCCTGTCACACAAGAGACAGGCAGGGTGTCTGACACCTTCTGTGCTTTGAGGATCAGCTGGGTGACTGCAACAGCTTCCTTCCCTCTCTGGGTATCAGTTTTCCCTGATCCAAGGTGAGACATTTAAGAACATTTTGGCTATTTGCATTATATCTAGTTTATATATCAGACTAGTGTCTGATTATTAAATAAATAAATCCTCTAAAGTTCAACATTTAGGCTGGGCGCAGTGCTTACACCTGCAATCCCAGCACTTTGAGAGGCCAAGGCAGGTGGATCACTTGAGGTCGGGAGTTCAAGACTGGCCTGGCCAACATGGTGCAACCCTGTCTCTACTAAAAATAAAAAATTAAAAAAATTAACTGGGCTTGGTGGCTCACGCCTATAATCCCAGCACTTTGGGAAACCAAGGCGGGCAGATCACCTGAGGTCAGGAGTTTGAGACCAGCCTGACCAACATAGAGAGACCCTGTCTCTACTAAAAAGACAAAATGCTGGGCATGGTGGCACGTGCCTGTAATCCCAGCTACTCAAGAGGCTGAGGCAGGAGAATCACCTGAACCAGGGAGGTGGAGGTTGCGGTAGACCGAGTTCGTGCCATTGCATTCCAGCCTAGGCAACAAGAGTCAAACTGTCTGAAAATAAAAAAGAAAAATTAGCGGGGCATGGTGGTGGGCACCTGTAGTCCCAGCTACTCAGGAGGCTGAGAAAAGGGAATTGCTTGCCTCAAGGGAATCTCTGCCAGGAGGCAGAGATTGCAGTGAGCCAAGATCACACCACTGCACTCCACCCTGGGCGACAGAGCAAGACTCTGTTTAAAA